GRRSASMGWRTGKTTTTKTTGKCACACCGAACAAATTACAATCAGGTACTGTAGTTCTGAGTCGAGTCATGCAGCTGAATGAGAGACTTCATGATTATAAAATATAAATCAAACCGCTGCAGAAACGCTGCGACTCATTTCTTCACATAAACTATTTAATAAATATTTTTCTAAGTTCTACCAAACTCATCAGTTCGTCTGTGTTTACAGTCATTTATTAAAGACGTGTAAAGGTGGAAATATCTCTCAGCCTCATACGTGCCGCTGCAGCACACGCGCGTACACACCAACACCCACACACCTTTGTGGCAAACACATTTTTTACACCCCACTACTTATTTAGACAGTTTTCTCACTCATTCTCCATTTAATGTATAATTTTCCTGCATCTAAAAATCATTTCTGATCCCACAGAGAGGACAGTCTGAGGAGAATCTCACACGCTGGACACATTTACATCTATTTAACATATTTAAATGGAGGCGTGTCAGGGGAGGAGTCTCAGGTGTGCTCAGTTCCACGTTCATTGGGATGTTTAAAGGAAAGGTGCACAGGAACCTGCGTGTGCACGGTTTTATACATCTGAATATTTTGGTGCGGCGCACTTTTCTAAATTTGTCCGTACGTCAACTTTTAGTGTAAAACCTGCGCAATCCTTTACGCATGAGGCCCCAGATCTGGCACACACCTGTCTGCTATGTGGATGATATATTTACCAACCCGTGTGTCATCCTTTTAAAAAGGTAAACGGACTGTATAGCACCGTCTATACAGCCAGAATACTCAAAGAACTTTACACTAAAGTCTGTCCTCATGTACCCATTCACAAAGCACTCTGATAGGCCTCACTACAAAGCTACAGGTAAATGAATCTGCAGAAACTAATCAGTGTTTTAAATCACATTTACACACTGATGGGACACACATTAGAGACAGTGGGGGGGTTCAGTGTTTTGCTCAGAGACATTTCGACATGTGACTGAACAGTGTGGAATCGAACCGCTCTCTTTCGCATTAGAGGAATGACTCCCCTAAACACTCAGCCACAGCCACCCACACCAACTTCCCACCTTGCAGAACAAGTTAAGGAACATCAGTCCTTGTGAACTTCACCAACGCCGTCTGTTTTCTCTTCCTCTTGAAGGCAATTTTCAGGATCCTTTGGCATTGGACCCAGCCAAACTACGTGCAGTCCTCTTGGGCCCTGTGAAAATAGGAATTTCAATTTGGTGATTCAGAATCAGATACACAACTTAGAAAATAGCATTGTGTGTATAAGGAAACACTTCATTTTTTGATGAGTAAAAGTCAGTGAAGAGAACACAAGAGTGCCCTATTGCATTGATTATGCAAACAATAAATAGGGTCTCGAAGTCTTTTTTTCATCCAGTAGTTGTAAACAGGAATGTTCTTCAAACCTCCACCTCCTCACGGTGCTCCTGTTGCATGGACAGTAAAGCCACAGTATGTCTTTAAGTTGCACAGTTTAATATCTTAATTTTTAGTCCTGATTACAGAAAATCCATGTCATTAGTCATCTTTGTGGTTGTTTAACAGAAAAGCAATCCGAGTCTGAACCACATACTGATGCTTTGTTAAATGCTGAATTATAAGAACATTATATGTAGTTTCTTGATTATCCTGAATGGTGATAAAATGACGCCCTGAATCATGTTGCTGATGTTTATTTCTCTTTTCCATCACAGTATCTATTGTGTTTGGCTTTTCTTCTCCAAGTCTTTTGAAAATTTCATGCAGGAACTATTTTTTTTCCACCAACATTTTTACAAAAAACAACAAAGTACATTCCAGTTTCTTTGGCTTTATCCCACAATTTTAAGTATTTCCTTCCATTTCTAATTAACAAATACGACTAAAATGCATTGTAATTTAGCAGAACTGAAATGCTTTAGGTTCAACAAAGAAAAAGAAAAAAACACATTTAAACTTAGAAGTTTTTTTAACAAAAGTCTCACCAAGGTGATGCTATCAAAAAAAAATTTTCCCCAGGGGAGGATGTCCCAGCAAATTCATCTCTACAGGCCTCTGTTAAACAGACTGAAGGTCATGACAGGACAAGTAGAAAGGGAGTAAATATCTTGTTGAATGTAGCTGTAAAAGTTGTTTCCAAAAGTAAAAAACAGCCCTTACATCTGTCAAGTATGGTGGTGGAGAGTTGATGATTTAGGCACCCTGCAGTCATTGAATCAACTATCATCTGTCCAACAGCTGAGATTTGCACCAAACTGATACTACAGGACAAGGATCCCAAACACAGCTGCTAATCTATAACAGAACAACTAAAATATATATATAAATTTAAAAAAGGTTGTTTCAACAATCTAGTCAAAATCAAAACAGACTGAAATGCTGTGGTGGGACCTTCAGGTATGGAAGCCGAAACCTCCCTCTACAACCATTTGAGAGGGAGAAACTGCAAAAATAGTAGGAAAAGTGATTTCTTAAGGCTGGTTCTCATACTCCTCAGATACAAAAAGCTCCAAAAGAAAAATTGGAAGCATAACTGGACCTCTTCAATTAAAAAATATCCTCAGCAAAATGAATAGGTACCTTCCCCCAAAAAATGACCCAAGTAATTTTTCAAGTTTTTCAAACACAAATGTGCCTCATGAAATCCTTTGAGATTTCAGAACAATGCTTTAAAGTTTATAATACTGCTTTTTTATTAAGATGTAATAAGATGAGTACAAGTGATCTACTGAGAATTCATGATTTTATGCTTGAGTGCAGTAAAAACTATCAAACTAAATAAAATCTACAAACACCTCTGTGTATCTAGTTTAATAACAATTCCACACAAGAGTGGCTTGTTCCTGAAAAGCTTGTTGCCAACACTGAACCTCAGCTCGCCTTAGAAAATAATCAGATTTCCATTCCCTCTTCACGTTGCACCCCTGACTGATTCCAGATGGATCCGAGTCCACTGCTCGATATACAAACGATAAGGAGCAGAGGCGTGTCATCGCTTACAGACTTGGGTGCCACTCTTAATTACTCACGGTTGGGCCTGGAGTTTGGGTTTTTAACAGACTGAAGATCTTTTCCAACAAGATTGAGGCTAATGGCAAAGGCCCAGTGTGCAGACATGGGGTTAGGAGGGATTTCAGGGTCTTGGAGAGCAATGTAGACAAAACAGCATCAACAAAAACAAACACAGGACAATGTCTGAGGGAATGCACCTGTGAGAAACAACCACTTCTTTGTGTCAGTAGGTAACTTTTTATTGAAGTTGTCAAAAATCACATGCGGGGTTCCCCAAGGTTCCATCTTGGGCCCCCTCCTGTTTAATATTTTATGCTCCCACTAGCTAAGATTATAACAAACAAGATAATTACCAGTTGTGTCCTGATTCAGATACCAGCATTTTTACTAGTACTGGTACAAAATGCCTTGGCACCTGGAGCTAATATTGATACTGGTAGCAATAGTCCATTCAATGTCTTCAAGTGAAAGGTTGGTCAGTTCGATGTTTAAGAAGATTATACAAGTAAGAAAACATTTATATTTCACAACAATATACTGTATATCATGTTGTATATTTGATTTGATCCAGTCAGAGGAGCTGTAGGTCTAAGAGCCATCTTGTTCTAAATAAAAAGTGTTTTTAAAGTCATTGTGTAATGTTCTAACACAGTACCCAAGTAATCATACTCAGTTTGAGCAAAACTGGTATCAGGACACCCATGTTAACTATACAGATCACACACAACTCTACATTACACTTTTATCAATTTCAGCTTTCAGGAAAATGTGCTTTTTCTGTCTTTGTGCTAATTTCAGCCTTTTCAGCTACATTTTAAAGCTATTTTAAGCCCTTTTTTTTTTTTACAAAGACAGCTGTCAATGAGGCAAATGGATCAGCAGTGCTTTTTTAGATTTTTCAAAACAAATTGCATACTTTTCTTTTCTTGTTTTTTTAAATAGTAATTCTCCCATCTGTTAATTTTTACATTTCATCAACTTTTAGCTTCTTTTGAGTAATTTTAGATACTTTTTTGCCTATTTTTAAATAATTTTTGCCATGTTTCTACTGATTTTTAACTTTTGTTGTCTTATTTCCACCAATAGTCAATTGTACAAATTTAACTTGCATTAACAGTTCAGCTATAAAACTTTTTCAGTTTCTTCAGCAGCTCTCAACAAAAACATTTCAGCATTTAACAGTCACGCTGCATTTTTGCGGGAAATGTCATTTCTCTAGTTTTTTATGTTTTCGTCATGCCAAGCACTTTGAATTGAAATGGACAGAAACGTGATTTAAAAAGCTCAAGTCCCAAAAAATAAAAACCTGTAAAAACAATTCAGAGACAACGAAGGAATTTTAAATGGCTGTAAGAAAGTCCAGCTCATTTTGTGCAAAAATCTCCTATCAAAGCTCCTTTTTAAAATAAAGACAGCCATCAGAGCAAGTCGATCAGCAGAGGGCGCCAACGTAGACTTTTTTTTACCTCAAAAAGAAGAAAATCAGTCGAACATGAACCATGTTTCCTGACTCATTAGTTTTGCAGTGTGCTTTTGAGTGTCCTCACTTTGGACCTGACCCTAATTTTATTTCACGCTAACCCTCCCATTCCTGACTGTGCAGCGGATTTTTCCCACTAAATCATCAAACTGTCATTTCCCCAAGTTTCTTCCTGACTTGAATAAAAAAAAACAAAGGTTTTTGAGTTTAATTTGAAGAAAATGGAGCAAATTACCCTTCAGACTTAATTAATCCATGTAAAGAGCTGTTTTCTGATCTACTAACCTCTGACACACACTTATAATTGTGTTTTTCACCTCCACCTCTGAGTTTGTCCAACCTCCTCACCCGTCTCGTTGACAGATTTTTCCTCTCCTACAGTTCTGGGAACCACAAGTCACCGAATGTCTGCCCACAGTTTTCATCTCAGGCAAAACAGAATCGCACCGGGAGGAAAAATTATTTTCCTACTAGCCTTAGAGTTCTGTCAAAACAGAGTATCTGATGTCGATGGATAGCAGTTTTACATACTGTTAGAAAAGGTTTATGGGGTTTATTTTGCATGACATGTTCCACTCTCTCACACAGCAGGAAGGAAACACTTCTGAGGCTTTCAGCTCTTGGTTTGAAGTCAGTGGATTCAAACATTTTTTTGCCTGAATGTTGTCTGATTTTGCCACATTTCTTTCTATTTGCACTGGCTCTCGGATGGAAGTCTCTCTGTGGGAATGAATGTTTTCATAGGCAACAACAATGTTTGGCCAATACCCAGATCAGATATATTGTGCCATGTTAAAACCACAGACGCCCACAGGGGAATTGTGTAGTCTTCAAATGCTTAAATATATTTTTGTGAACTCTGTAAATTGGTGAAAACAAGCTCAAAATATGCAGGACGCCACAAAATGTCTCCTCAAATCTGTTTCTGGTTCGTCCCCTATCAAAGTAGGTATCATAAAGGAGAAGAAATGTGTAAAATGGACGTAACATTAGTACAAAGTTTAATCTAACTTTGCCTGTTTCATGCACTTCAATGGGTGGAAATAACTCCACGCAGCAGAGAACAGATGGCTTCATTTAAACTGCACACTGAGGTGCAGAAAAAGGTTACATTTTAGTTTCTCAGTTCCAGCAATGGATCACAGTTTTACCCCGAAGGCCAGACTGTGCAATGCTCAACTTCATTTATTTGTTCATTTTTTCTGGAAACAAAACAAAACAAAACAAAAAAACAAAAAACAAAAAACAAAGCTGATTTTTACATTTAGGTTTGCATAACTTGAATTTGGTGTGGTAGTATCTGAAACTGATCCCCAACACATCCTCTGAAAGCTAATATATTATATAAAATGCTAGTTTTATAGTTAATGTAAGTGCAAATGGCAACGAACTCTTGTAGGGAAGTAGCACAGAGGAGGCCGTCTGGTGCAATCGGTGGTAAAGACCCATGGTGTCCCATAGGACATGGCAAACCCCTGGGTCAGTTTGCCAAGTGCTAATATGCTACAGTGAGAGGACAGAGGGAGGAAATGTTGATTTATCCCCCAACATATGTGACTATGAACACTCTGAGAGAAAGACGTTCTAAATGCTGTAATCACTGATCTGCTGACTCATTGATCTGCTGACTCACTGATCTGCTGACTCACTGATCTGCTGACTCACTGATCTGCTGAGTCTCTGATCTGCTGAGTCTCTGATCTGCTGACTCACTGATCTGC